GTTATGAATCAGATGATTGCTTGAATATCAGATTAATGAATACATTGGATGAGTGATAAAGCCTAAATTATTTAAATTGAAATTTCTTCCTTCACCATAAAAATACAAAAGTTTAAAAGTTCTTGTAACAGTTACTTAATGTTAGCACTTAGCTAAACTAATGTAACCGGTAGAGTGCAGCACCTCCTTATACCTTCAATAAAACTTTTTCAAACTGCCAATAGAGGCCAGCACTATGACAATAGTAATTCTAGTGAAACCGAAACTTTTTAAATATAAAAGTTTTTCTTTCTGTTTCAAGCCTTGGTTTTAACCATTAAATTAAAACAATATTAAATTTATATCCAAAAGGTAAAATATAATTTTTTTTTTTAAATATTCTAAGAAAAAATCAAAATATGTCCTTAATTTGTTGTTTAATCTATTTCAATTATAAAGTGATTATAAAGGGTTTCAATTTTTTTTTAAGTATGAAAAGGTTGATTAATTTTAATAAAATCAAACTATTAGAAGCAGTAGTAGATCCAAAATTTAATTGTTTTGTTGGGGGAAATAATTAAAGTAACAATAATGCATTTAGTTAATACAATTTTTTTCTTTTTTTTTTTTTGATACATACTTACATTTAGTAGTTGAAGTATATAAATTTGTTATTACTAAAAAAGAGAGTGTATAATTCTTTAATTATTTGTCACAAACACTCAGGAACAAATATGGAACAATGAAAAATAAAAATTACTTTTCGATTTTAAGAGACTTCAACTCTTAAGTAACTTCTTCCTTAAATCTGCTATTGATTAAAATACAAATAAATCAAAATATTGCTTTTTAAAAAAATGTCCTTTTGGAAATGAATGACTTAATTATTAAAATAAGTGAGTATTTTTCAATATGTTATTAATTTTATTTAGTTATGATACAACCTTATGATATATACATAATATGTGATAATGTATAAAATTTATGAAGTTATATCATATCATTTATAGGCCTTAGTTTGTCTATTCAGGCATCTTCAGGAATACAGTATAATTTTAAAATATTTTGGTGATGTTCACCAGAAAAAATATAAAAAATTTCTCAGAGGATTTAGGTAGATACTAGTCTGTCAATTTTATTACCTTATTTTTTTTATATTTTATATTTATTTAATATATAATATTTAAAATTTCAATGTTGACAACTCCTCTCCTTCCTAGGGAGGTTTGGTCTTTATTCTGATTGTACAGGACAAGGTGTACAAAGCTGGGCACCACTATACGCAAAGTAGGTTTTTATCTATTTGTTTTTTGTATTGTTATAACTATTTTTCAATGTTTTTATTCAATTAACAATAGGATAGTGGTTACCAGTAAAACTTCTGAGTGATTTTTTATATTTTTCAGATGAATATTACCAAATTTTTCAAGATTATAGTATATCACTGAATATGTCTGAATTGCCAAAAATTGGGATGATTTTATAATAAACTATGTTATGACTAAGGCTACTGAGGTCTAAGTTACAACCAATATTTTTAATTAAGTCTCTTTCCTGCTATCCTCATTAACAAATCATAACATCTAATATTTCCTAATTAATTATTATCCATATTATTTTAATATTTGCTCTGTTTTCATAACTTTTTATTAAGACTAATCTTTTAGTTTCTCAATTTACATATATATATATATATATATATATATATATATATATATATATATATATATTATAAATTATCTAACTTTTTTAAAAATAAAATTTAATGATAAAATCATCATGTCTAAAAAAAGAACCGATTTGCTTAAAAAATATTTTACTACTTTATATTCAATCTATTACCTTGCATTAGTTTATATTCAAAGATATGTATATGTATATATGTATTATATATATTGAGAGTTCATCTCACTGAGTCAAGCCTTTAAATAAAAATACTAATATGTAATATGTTCTGTTGCTTTGTATAACTGGAAAAAACTTATTTTTTGCCCAGAAATGTCTTCAAGGAAGGAGACTTCTTAATTAAAATAAATTAAGTGTAAAAGGAATCTATGATTTACTTAGAATCTCTCTCATTATAATTGTTTTTGAATGAACAATTATTTATTGATAAAATTAATTAAGATGATTATTTTTCTTTTTATATGTTTTTATTTTCTGCTGTTTTTTGGTAACTTTAAATATCAGCATTGTAACCAATACTTGATGTATATATGTATGTATACGACAAAACCTGTCCATCACTTGATATAGTAAGTTGAATAGCTTAAAAGAAATAAAAATATCTATCCATTGTTTTGTATATATTCAAATACACCCAAACACACAAAAAAGCCGAATAGTCTTATGGCATAGGCGTTGAATAAATAAAAAAATAATAATAAAATAAGATATATAATACAATCCATACCTCAAATGTTAACTAAATGTACTATATTTACTGACCAACAGTTATTATTATATCTCCCTCAAAATCTATGTGGAAAGGTGTTGTCCATCTCCTACCACATCTACACACCCATTCACGATCTGTTTGAGTAATTAAATTTTGTCAAAGCACGTTGGAGTTTAAGGAATATCAGCTACTTAATGTTTTTTTTTTCTTTAAATCTACAAAGATTAGCCTGAGCCAGATACCTATCCTTTCATGATAAACTCCAGTCCCATCCGAATCCACTTGTTTCCAGCCTTTTTTCTTCCTCGATTTCTGATAATCCCCCTAAGCATCTGAAAAGAAGATGGCCTCCTGATCTTAGAATTAAATAGGGAGTGCTACCACTGGGTAGTATCTCTTCAAGTCTGTTCATGTCATTATTTTCAATGTGTGCATATTTTCTGGTTGTATTTTTTATACAGTCGTAAATTTCTTAAATAAATAAAATTTTTAAAAAATCCACAAAGATTTCAGAATAAAATTGATTGTTTTATATTTCTTTTATAAAAAAAAAAATATATGGGGAAATACTTAGTTACACCCATGAGTTTATTCATATACATAGCATTTATACTCAAAATAGTTTATAAATACTATGTAGAAATATAAATTGTCCAAAGGAGGAAACTACATCAGACTTATGTATTAGAACCAGTTCCTATCATATTGGTACCCAGCTTTGATCTAAACTGTGTACCTTTAACATTTTGAGAGGCACTAGGGGATCCAAGATTTGATTTTTGGGAGGGAGAAGCTTCAGTCCAATATGATTTTTTTCCATATATATAATGATAATTACTTTAGAAAAAAAAAAAAGAAACTAACTAGCTATATAAAATGGTGTTTAAGTGATACTTGAAGTCCTATTAAATTTAATTACATGAGCAAGAATACTTTTAGAGATAATTTTTTTCCATAAATAAGAGTTACATTTTACCATTTTGGGGGGAGGGTTTCAGCCAGAAAATGTCCTTCCTCCCCCTCTCTCCCCATAGATCCGCCTGTGTTGAGAGAAATAAAGATTCTTCAAAAATGGGCAAAGCAATTAGGAGTTTCGTCATCTCTTGAAATAGGTAAAAATACAAAAAAAAAAAAATCTGAATCAATAATTATAAAGTTATAGAAGTTGGATGGAGTGGTGTACATCAGGAAAGAAAAACAAAAATGAATAAACTTATATTAAATTTTGCCGACTTTTAGCACAAGCTGCAGTCCTTCATAAGGACAATAGTCCACTGGGGATACATTTTTATTTTATTTTTTATTTATTAAATTATTAACATCTGTTCAAAAAGGAATGGCTTCATCTTATGGTAACTTACAACTCTTTTATATATAAAAATTCTCAGAAATGCGGCGTTTTCTCATTAAATTAATCAATTTAATAAGGTACTAAAAGTCACGGGCGGATCTACGGGGGGGGGGTCTTTCGGGCTGAAGTCCCCCCCCCCCCAAAATGGAAAAATATATAATATAATTCCCCCATAAAACCATGTTTTATGGGGAAAATTTTTTTAAAAATACCTCTTAAAGTGTTATTGTTCGTGTAATTACATTTAAAAGTACTTAAGGAATAACTTAAACGCCATTTCATATAGGTAGGTAGTTTCTTTCTGTTTTTCCAAAGTAATTATCGCTATTTTTATGAAAAAAAAAGGTTTCGGGCTGAAGCCCCCCAAAATTAAATCCTGGATCCGCTAGTGCTAAAAGCTCATTAATACCCACTTGCTGTTCACTTGAACCATAAAGTAAGCTGATCACAAAATCAAGAAAAAATGTGACCTACAAAAATATTGGGCGGTTTGGCCTATATAACATAATTATTTTGACATTTTGAGGGTTGAAGTCATGCCAAACAGCCTAATATTTTTTTAAGGGCACATTTTCTCTCCATTTTTTAATCAAATTATCTTAGATTGGAGTAGAAAGCAAATGGATCTTCATGAGTTTTTAGTCCCTAGGTAAACTTTGTCTAGTTCATGATCATGAAATAAGTTTTCTAATCTCCAGATTAGAAACGCCCCATTTCCAAGAATTTTCGTGAATAAAAAATTTGTAGATTACGATAAGATGAACCCATTCAGTAGGTTTTAGAAGTATGTTAATAATTTGATTAAAATGGGTCTGAAACACGAACTAAAAGTGCAGGATTTCTGCAACGAATCACTATAGTTAAAACTTTATATATTCTTGTCAATTTGATAAATTAAAGTTTCAACGTTAATTTTACGAAATGGTTAATTAATAGTTCAAAAACACTTAAAAATATATTAAAAAGTTTTAAATTAATAATATCGAAGTGTTTTTATAAGTATATGAGAATTAAAGCATTAATTAAAAAGTAAAAATAATTAACCATTAGCTAAAGTAGAGGGGGGTGCGTTATATTATGTCGATGTATTTTTTTTTAAATGTTTACCTATTTAAGGTAAATGAGAGTTTTAAGAAAATATAAACCATAAAAATAACTGATAGGGTTGATAATAATTAAAGGAATGTTGTATTTATAATAATTAGATAAGAGTTGTATTGTTCTCACTGCTAACTGTTAGTAGCTGTCAACATGATGCTTGTAATGGAGTTCGTGATAATTCGTCAGCTGACAATCCGTGTCAGGGCGTAAAAGGATGTATTTCTCAAGCCACACTTTGGCCATATCCAACCAATTTATTTGGAAATATTAAACGAAATGTTCTGACCCTCTTCCTCGGTCAATAAACTTGTCAAAACAACTATTGATGCCCCTTTATCAGCCCGTATCAAGTCATGATAAGACATATACAACTTGAAAAAGAGGAATGAAAGGCAAATTTGAAACTATTTTGGATTACTCGATAAAGGTAAGCTTCTCATATCAAAAGAAATACAATTTATATGTACGTTTGTTATTAACGAATGACCTACTAGTATAACCACATATTTGACTTGTTAACTTCGAATTAATTGATTTTCATAAGAATAAAAAGTAATTAGTGTAATAATTGAAATCAGTTTTCAATTATTAATAAAATGACATCCTTATGCTTCAGTATTGCTTGCCACTGATTAATCGACTGAGCTACACTAACATTGAAGAGGAAGAAATTTTAAGAGCTAGAGTGTTTTCCAAACCTTCATATAAAAATGAAGGAGGAGAAACATCTCCACAAGGTTTTCTTCTATTAAAGCTTTTTCAATCTCAGCTTATTCTTTTTTCATAATTTTTTCTCTATCTTCAAATGCATTGTTTATCTGCTTCCTTTATACATATTTACAATTGTTTATGGCTTCTTTAATGATTCTTTTCTTTCTTTCTTGCATTCATTACTTATGAGTATGAAGCTTATTAATCATTCAGTTGTTTTATTTACTATAACATCGATTAGATCCGTTTTATCAAATCTCTCTTTCCCTAGTGAAATCAACTCTTAATGATGAATATAATGAGAAAACTGCGTGGTAGTTCAGCAGGTGTTACAATGCTTGAAGATACCAACATCAATACCCAGCATGCAGCCCTCGGGTTGATGCATTTGAAGAAACTGTTTTCCGAATATAGCCATCTTTCTCAATCGCTTTCAGAAAAAGATAGAGATGACAAACTGTACAATATGTTACCTTTATTTTGTAAGGTAGGTTATCTTTAATGTCACTAATGAGTATATTACCATTTTGTGTCATTCTTAACAATTTACTTTCTTTCCGTAAAGGTCTTCGGTAATTCTCCTTCAGCAGATATGTTAGATAAGTTTCGAGATATAGCAGCTTTCTGCAAACAAGTCTCCAAGTTGATGGTGTGTGAAATAAGAAAAAGAGCTTCCAATCAGTCGACTGAGATGGCAAGTTGTGCCATTGCCAAATTTTTGGAAATTGAAGGCTCAGAAGAATCTAGCAACGGTTGGATGTTACTGTCCACGTTGAATCTGCTGGCTGCTGCAGGAAATCCTCTAGTCCAAGTAGGTTGTTTTTATTTTACCCAACTAGCAAAAATGTATCTACAATGACAGTATAAACTGATAGACATCTTTAAGTTAAAAAGAATATCAAAAAGTCATCTGTTTTGAGACACCAAATATAACTTCATCCAAAAGCTATCTGCAATATGTCTGATAGATATCATTTTTATATCCAAAAATGTCATCATTTTGGTATTGTCATAAACATTTAAAAAAATATTTATTCTTTTACATGGAAAAATAAATAGAAACATTTTTGTTCAAATATAATTGATTTATTTAAAGACATATTAACAAATTACAAAATATAGACTTAAAATACATCATCAACTTTTATACTATTATATTTTTTTCTATGTGCCTTTCGTGTGTTGATCGACCTTTTCTAATCAGGGTTAAGACTTCCTTCTTGTCCTCATCTATTGCTTTGTTGGCATTATTGAAAACAGTATCTAAAATCATAAAACCTGGTAATGAATGTTACTGTTGACGACTATGAAGATAGGAAATAAAGTATTACATGTCAGTTTTACATTATCTCTTTCTGAATTTTCTTAATGAGTAATGACAATAAATTTCATTTAAACTCCATCTGCAATTGTAAAAAAATCAACTTCAATTGGTTGTACTAGATTAATAAAAAAAAATCTTATTATGTTCCTGCATATCGTTGTCTAGCCGTGAACTTCTTTTAAATTACCTATTTTCAAACTTCTCCAGCTCCTAAGATTAGAAAATTAAGAGTTCGATTGTTGAGATGATCAGCTTTTCAGATTCAAACCTTACTTATATACAAAGAAAATATTTATTTTCATTCGAATGAGATAGATATATCAATTTTTATATAAAACTTGAGCGAAGGTTATGAACATATATTATGACCATCTGAATATTTCGAGCATGATATCAAATTTTTATCTTGAAAAATATGTCATTTAGGTATCCGATTCACGACATTATTAAGACATCTGGTTTAAGAGTTCTTTTAGCCTCTTATAAAAAGTTATCTAGAAATGGTCATCTGTTAAATATCTTTTTTAAGGCATCTTAAAAATTACTAAAAAAAAAGATATTTTTTAGGGCGGATTAATTTTTACTTTTTAAAACTGAATATTAAACTATCCCTAAGAAAAATTTTAAAGACAGAATAAAAAAATAGTGTTCTCACTTAACGATTTTTTTTTCAATTTTATTTTTTTAATATTATTAAAAATAAATATATAATAAAGTATTAGTTTTAATTTAATTAAGTATTCACTTTAGTTAATTGTTATTTTTTCCATGCTTTAAATAATAAATTGTTATTTATTAATCATGCCTGATATGTATAATTATTTTATTTAAAAATACCTTCAAAGATCAATTTTTTATTAATATTTATATAAAGTTAGATTCTTTATTGCGATTATTGGGTTAATAATTATCGGTTAATATACTCTAGGTTATGTTCAGTATGAAATATGACTTAGTATTTACTTAAAATATCAGGTTTTTTATAGTAGAATTTTTATTGTCATAAACCAATAATTATTAAATATTCTTTTTCATTTTTTCAAAAAAGTTTATTAGTTTAAGTATTTTTTTCTTCTTTTTGAGTCTTGAATGATGATTACTTGAATCAAGAAAGTACTATATATTAATTATTTTGTATGTTTTAATTAAATACTTCGTGGCATTTTAATTTTTTTCCATACTAGTATTATTAATTATTTTCATAACTGTCAATATAAGTAGAAATAAGCTTGTTTTTTTTTTTATTGAACAGACTGCTTCTAGACGAAGCAACCTTGCAACATTAATGCTTGCATAGATATCTAAGTAGTCTATTTTTATAAGCGATTTGCATTAGAACTGCATAAATTATAAGTGTTTTGCATAATTTGTTATAAGATAAAAGATAACTTTTGAAAACTAAATGAATATCTTTTGTAGCAAAAAATATTGACTCCTTGGGACTGATTCATATACTTTCATATTTGTATTGAATAATAATACAATCTGTCACTTTTAGAAGACATTAAGTATTAAGGCTAAAAGTACTTAGATATTTAAAAAATTTGATAATAACTTTTTTTTTTTTTCTTTTAATATATAAATATATTATATATATATATTATATATTATAATATATATATATATATATATATATATATATTTATTTATTTATTCATTAATTTAAAAATTTCAGTTTTATTAGATATAGTTATTTATGTTAGTATTTTATCAGCATATTAGTCTAACAAACTATGTTTGATATAATTTTGAAATGTGATACACAATTTTTTTTAATGCATACCTTTTTAAAAACATTAATTTATTAGAAGATATTAGACTGTTTTATATTCTTTGAAAATCAGAATTTTTATCAATGATAGTCTCTATAATTTATATTATTTAATTTCATATCTTATACTCAGAGAAGCTTTCAGTGACTTGCAACATATTCATCTCTATGATTACAACATATGATTAATCAATAACATTAACAATTCATATATGTATGTTACATACTTTCTAATTGTCATGCAACTATAATAATGTGATGTACATTTTTTTGTTCTTTCTGACTCACATATTATATCAAAAATGATTTTAGGTTAAAATTATTAATTAATTAAATAAAACAAAATTTATTTACTGATATCTCAGAGAACAGAACTCCTCTTTGTCCAACACCATCTTGCTCAGTGCTGAGCATTTACTGTTAGCATCATTTATATTACGGAACTATTTAGCAACTAAAGTTATCTATTATCTTATTTTATTCACTACTATTTAAAGTTTTATGTTTAGCTGTTATAAAAATCCTGATCTTTAACATTTTTTTTTTTTTGTTCCATTCAGATTAGAATAAAATTTAAAGTTTTTATTTCACATCTTTGTTTCATCTCTAGTTCTTCCCTAGTTCAATAATGCATTATATATTGTATTATTCTTTGATGATTATTGATGTGTATGTATTCCATACATTTTGTTTCTTTTTTTTTTTTACTTTTATTATTTTTTTATTGTTTGTCTCTTGTTTATCCTAGAGGTTCATTCGAACCTATTTCTACCCATTCAGACCAAATTTGAACCAGCACCCCTAGACTCGAGAATTATTATAATAAGGTAGGGTGTAAAGCTCAAACATGCTTGGCCACAACAGTCTCATGATTTCCATGCATGTTAATGTATATTAACAATTAGATGATGGTGTAACTAGTTTAGAAACATCAGGGTGCAGTTACATTACCGCCATATCTTCTTTCTCCCTTAATTCCTGCCTTGGTGCAACTCTAATGTTTTGAAGTGTTTGAAAAGTTGTTTTCACTCTATGATTAAACACTTATCTTTTTTTAAAATAACAGAAACACCAACACCTATTTTGTTTCGATCACATGGGATTGATGAAATGATTAGAATTGTTAGTTGTGTTAATTGTTTATTTACAGAATTTTTTTTTACTTTCACTTACCTATTTATGAAATATATAGTAAGAGAAAGTATTACGATCGTGAAAATTTTCGAATCTGAGTTTTCAACGGAAATATATGTTTTGAGGTTCCCTGAGTCAAAATAACCAAGTCCCGCAAAATGGTCTGTGTGTGTGTTTACAGTCTTGTTAAAAAAAAAGTGAAAATGAAATTACATGTTTAAGGTTCTTATATGCTTGGGATGTTACAGCAACTTTTTTGTCATTGGCTAATTGGAAGCGACACTTTATATCATGGACTATAAATATTTTTAAGATTTTCTCGAAAATGGCTCTAATGGTTTTGATTAAATTCATTATTTCAGTGTAAAATTAAGCAGTTTTAAATAAAATTTACTTTTTATTCTGATTGATGTTTTCTAACAGGCCTTAAATGGCTAATTTTCAATATTAGCTTCCCCTAAAGTACCTTTAATTTTTTTTAATTGAAACAATTGGTATATTGTTCCAATATCAATAATTGTTCCATATTGATAATTGTTCCAATATCAAAGATAGTTAAATATATAATATATGAAAGAATTTGATTATTAACTAAAGGAGAAATAAGAGATCGTAACAGAGAATAGTTGTAATTGAGGAACCAAAGGAATAAGAGCACACCCGAGCTCATCCGAGAGATTAGAACACTCTTCCATACGTAACATGAGCTTAATATAATAAGGACTGCGCCAATATTATTTAATATTTAATTGTATAGATTACAGCAATATAAATATTAAAATTTGTATATATATATAAGAGTACTTATACAAATAAAAATACCCACAATGAAATATAAATCACTGTAGCATTTATAATGTTTACTTTTACTTCCACTTTGTCTGAAAATACTTATTTCTGCAAAGAAGAGGGTGGGATGTGAAAGTTGTGTGATGCGCCCACCGCACCAAATTTTTTCTCTTAGTGATGGTGCCTCTTTTGAGCCGTTGCCTGAAAAGCAAATTGTTCCTGCTGCTTCGCTGTAGTTATGTTACTGCAGACAGTTATACATTAACATTCCAGGTGTCTCTTTCTCTGATTAAATATCATGATTCACTATTAATATCTTTTTTAATTTACAATAAATTTTGTAAAAAATAGTTCCAAAATTGAATAAATGTTAAACATATATTGAGTTCATATAATATTATCAATTATCTCAGAATATCACTAATAAATAAAATATATGATATATTTTATTGTTAAAATTTTAACTTTTTTTTAAATCCATTAGTTCCAATCACATTTTTTTTAAATCAAAAATTAAATTAAACCACATTGGAAGTTTTTTTAAATTATGTTTAGTTTTAAAGATTTGCTTTTAAATTATTGTTTTGTTTATTTTAAGGTAATGACATCTGTATCTTTACCTTCAACTCTAGTCAAATGCCTTTATCTCTTTTTTGATCTGCCGGAAATGGTGAATCCCGATAATGCCGATGAAAGTAGCGAGTTCACTCCCAGAGAAAGGAGGATCCTTCTTCAAAAAATATTTGTCCAGGTAACTGTAACTTGTATCATCTTGTCAGGTAACTGTTACTTGTAACATCTGATAAATAATACGTTTATAATTATTGTAATGATTCCTAGGTGTTAGTTCGCCTTTGCAGTCACATCGAACCGGCTGAAGAGCTGTCTCAGAAAAACGATCTTACTCTCTTGTTCTCCGCTATCACCAGCTGGTGCCCACCTCACAACGTACATTGGAGGAAATCGGCGGCAGAAGTTTTGATGACTTTATCTCGGCATGGACTTTCTCCATCTGTTGTTGCCTATATTCACAGTACGTATTATTTTAAATTTTGATATTTTTTCTAAAATATCTTTAATCGTATTTGCTTTTAGGTCAATTTAATAAATAATCAGATTTTGTTCACTATTTATTAATAGACCTTTCAGGGAATCTTTGTCCCACTCAACACCATCTAAAATAATAGAATAGAATAGAAAATTAAACTTTATTCTGGGACTAAGTCCCTTTAGAATAACAATGATGAGTTAATACAAAGTAAAGTACAAATCTGGCCAAAAACTAACTTCTAAAAATTTTAATATTATATACATTATTTAAAAAGTATGTAACCAATAAAAAATAAAATATATATACAAATGAACATAAAATCTTCTCAAAATTACTTAATTGTGATGAAAAAAAAAGAAGAGAAATTACATATTTATATATACATAACTACACAATTTATAAACAATAGGCTATCTAATAGAAAACTAACTTAATACAAAATGTAATAATATCTACAGTGATTTATATAATAATATGCAGACACTAAGATAAAATAAAATCTTAGGATTCCTTGTGGTGTAATGGAAAAAATAAAATAAATAAAAGGAACTATTTATACATACATTCTCATATTGGCACACAGAAAGACTAAAATATAAACATATATACCCGGAAGAAAAAGCACAACCTGAGGAGAAGAGAAAAAAAAAAAAATAGTAAAAATAATAGTCAAACTAGGTGACAAAGATCATTGCTGTTTTATGTTAAAACTTAAACAGTAGGCACCACCATTTACTTCACGCAAATTCAGTTCATAAAATGAAATTTATGGTGGTAAATCTTCTGTTTGGGATGTAAGGAGATATTGGAAAAGGAGGTATTTGAAAGTTGACAGGGAAGAGGCATGATGGATGTTATGTGGCAAAGAATTCCAGTAGAAGACGGAGCGGGCTAAGAAGGAATGTTCATAGGTTTTTTCCTGTGGAATGGAATATAGAGGTCAGAAACAGGGGATCTTGTTTTTATTGAGTGGACTAAGGGTTTAGGCTGGAGGAGACAACAGATATGGAAGTGTGCTGGGAGTTGATCGTTTGATATAAGAAATTTCCAAGGACTTATAGGCGGCGGGAAGAGGGGAAGAGCCACTTTGACTCGGCATATAGGTGGGACACATGAGACCATCTCGAAGTGCCGAGGACGAATCTTAAAAAATAGTTCATGATTTTCTTCAGTCTGTCCTCAAGCACCAACGAGAGGCCACCATATACCACACAGCCATAGTCAAAGTAGGGGAAAATCAATGAGGAAACGATTTAATAATAATATAATTATTATGTTACAGGATCTATCATGAACCAGTCATTTTTTAATTTAAAATTCATAAAATGTTTAAATATTTTTTGCTCAACTTAATATAAATTATTTTATGTGCATTTGTTAAAATAATAATTTACTTACATGATATGTCTCAAAATTGGGGTGTCACAGTTATTAATAAGTTCGTTCAATGGCTCTGATCTAACTAAAATGATTAAAGTACATTAAGGGTTGTGGGTTGGGGAGGTTAAATTATTAAATTTGTTTTTAAAATATTAAAGTTAGAAAATAACAATTTTAATATTTTAACCCTCCCCCCTCCAAATCCATAATCATCAATTTGGAAATCATGCCAAACGGCCCAATATTTTTGTAGAGCACCCTTTTCCTCTAATTTTACTGTTGAATTATTTTACGATTGAAATGGAAAGCAAATGGGTATTTTTGAGTATTTAGTACCTCATTTAACGGACAAAGTTTATCGATCTCTGAGAATTTTCATAAATAAAAAATTTGTAGATTACGATAAAATGAAGACATTCATAAAGTTTTAGATGGATGTTAATAATTTGCTTAAGTCTACACTGCGGATTATTGTCAATGTGATCTATCTTTCACACAGGGTGATTTCTTCGATTTAATCTTAAATATACGTATCAGTATGTAATCACCTTGATCAACTTATAATAAGTATTAAAAAAAAAATATAAATATATTGATTACAAAAAACCATTTTATATCATTTTTTCTTATTCGCAGGTAAAGGCTGCATTGCTCTCTGCCTTGAAAACATGCAGAGGGGCCAAGATCTTTCCCCATTAGAAATTGTTGAGATGTTTGTCGCAGTTTTTTGTTTCCTCAAAGATTCAAGCGAAGTGTCTCAAACTTTACTTGAAGATTTCAGAACTTGCCAGGGATATACATTTTTAAATGACTTCCTTCTCAAGTAAGTTTCACTTTGAATGGTTAAACCACTGTTAAGTAATAAACATTGTCGTAAGTTAATAAATTTTCCCTATAGTATAGGCGATTGGATGGTGGCCCGGCATGATCTATGTTAAAGTTTTAAAACAACAGTTTATTTTAATCAAAGTTGAATACTGATAATTATTAATTTGACATCTAAAGATATATTTTTGCTTCCTCGCTACCGAAGGTAGTGAAGCATTGTGTACACGCGAGGTAGGTAATGGCGAAAAAATAACGTAATGTCAATTTTATTGAATTCTGTCCACTAATTTCTCGTACATATGTGGAAATGTGTTTTCCTTGATGCATCTATATCTCTAAAATGGCATGTTCGATTTGGCTCAAATTTGGAGGAAAGTTAGGGGTTGGTAAAGAGATTATCAAATAGGTATGAATTTTATCAAATTCTATCCACTACTTCTAGAAACAATACTTTCGATTTCTGATCAGCAAACGTATTATTTGGCAAGCCTACAATTTGAAAACTGGGCATTCAATTTGACTCAAATTTGGATAATAGTACAGAAATTTCCTACTATGAATTTCATTTAATAATTACTCATGGATATCAAACCAGTATGTGTTGAGGGTTTACTGAATTTCCGGAAAAGTCTTTTCCCAGAGATTTTATACTCATACAAAAAATTTTAGATCTTGTAATATAGATATTTTTTAGCCAATGCAAACAGTGAGGAAGCTATACTGACCTTCCTTGGGCAAAAGCTTTTTTTTTTCCAGCGGAACTTTACACAATCTTAATTTATTGAGATTGGAAATGGGTGATTATGATAATTGTAAAGGTTTAAAAATGAACAATATTTTGGGCTTATAGAAAACTTGTACCACTTCAACTCACGAAGGGTTCAATATTTTTTAAGCAAGTTCTGTTTCAAGACCTACAGTTGTGCAGGGACTTGAGTTAATTTTACCGCGATCAACTCTCGGATTTTATCCTTAATCTGTTAATTAATTAAGGGTACCTACTTTGTTGATGGGTGTGTCCCAAGAGGATCTTTTTTTTCTTGAGCATGTTTCGTCATAGATGCTTTCAACAAAGCCTAGAATTTTTTTTGCAAAAGATTCACTTTTACATCTTATTAATTTAAAAAATCTGGTGTGCGCAACATTCAACTATCACTTACCGCTCTACTTTGAATAGAAATTATTTTCTGGCAACGTTGGGCTATTATAAAATTTTTGAAGTGCATTTTAAACGGAGCTAAAGCTTAAAGATAACAAATCATTAAAACCATTAAAATTACAAAAAGTCTATTTATTACATCGACGGTCGGCAATAAAAATCTAGTAACTCCATATGTTTTTATAAACCAACACAACTTCAATCTCTGAGCCTTTCAGTTGACAGAATGACTAACTCCAATTTCAACATTTTTGAGTAATGTCATTTTAGTGATATTTCTAGTTGGAAAAGTTGTATTTATACAGACAGTGAGTAAGTTGATTCCAGAGTAGGTGATTATAGTGTTGTGTATAAATTTTGCCACTTGAAACATAACTAAAATTAATAATATAGAATGTTGAAATTGGAGTTAGTCATTCTGTCAACCGAAAGATTTGAAAATATATCTGAATATTTAACCTATAAATGATTATCAATTGTAAGACTATTAGTTATTAAACTGTTATTTTCCATTGTAAAGTTTACTAAAATGAACAAGATTTTCATTGTCTGTCATGGATAGGTCAAAAGTTGTCCAATTGCAAGTGGATAATGTTAGGATTTCATAAAGGGAAAATTCATCAAATTATTCACTAATTTAATTTTCTAAAAGATTACTTGAGGATTTTTTTGTAATAAATGGCCAATAGATACCTGATTATTTAAATATATTATCACATATCTGCTTTTGATAGATCTTTCATTATCCGATCCTCATCCCTTTGGAACTCTATCCCTTCTCACATTTGTCAATCTAATACCCTTCCTACCTTTAAATCCTGCCTGTTCAATAATTTCTTATCCATCCAGTCCCCATGAAATTGTAATTCGATACTAATGTAAATATGTATATAAATTATTAGTTCATTCTTCATTATTTTTCACTTCATCCTTTTTTGTCAATTTTTTATTTTTTATTATTAACTGATTAAAATTAAAAAGTAACTTATAATTTTTCATTTTTTTTACTATGGCTGTTTAATTACTCTGTATTTTTATTTATGTATCTCTAAGGCTCCTTAGCCCATATCTAAGTCTTTCTGTATTATTCTAAACGGACTCGTCCCAGAATAAATAAAGTATTATTATTATTATCTAGAGTTATTAAACTACAGTAAATGTATTTAAAGTTAATACACAATACTTTCCTTTATTATCTATTTCATATATAGATAAGTGAAAGTAAACATTTTTTAAGTTTATCTTATAGCGAGTAATTATTTTTTAAAATTCTATTTCCTACAATATTTTGAATCCTGGCACAATGTTTTCTATGATTAATTATTTTAAATGAATATATTCTATCATCTATAATTTTTATTTTCCCATATATGAAAATATTTATTTCTACTTAAGGTAGAGTATTAATTGAAAGTTGTGTGATACATGTACTGCACCGGATTTTTTTTGTTATTCTGTTGTAATCTATTTTATCTTGAATATTTTTTTAGACTTGAAAGTGAAAAGTCAGTGGAGGCTGGAGAAGCTATGAGGAACTTAGTTTTAATGATACCTTCGCTGGCAATGTGTGGACAGACGGAATTAAAACCGAGCCAAGCCAGTAGTGGATCTTTGTTCCAGATGCCTGGTTTCGTTTTACCTCAACCTTCTGGCAAAGGTAATAATTATTTTTGTCACCTTTAAATTGGTAACTCGTTTTTTAAAAATATTAGTATGATACTATATAAAGAATGATAAAGAGAAGGATGGTTGTGGTTATCAGTCAGAAATAAAATGGCAAAAATAAATAATAATATTTATTTTAACATTTGCCGATGTTTCGATCTGAAGTTCAGGCCTTCATCGGGCTAAGAAAAGAACCAGATAACAAGGTATGAGAAATATAAACAATGTAGGCAAAAAAAAAAAAATAATATTACAGTAAAATGAAATGGGTAGAACAACAAGAACTAAGAAATAAATAATAATAACCATTACAAAGTGTGGACTAATGAAGTAAACATAATCAAAATAAGGTGACATAAGTACTAAAATAGTAGTCTTAGAATAAAATGTAAAACAGAGAAATACAAAGACAATTCACTTCATTTTACTTTAATATTTATTTTTTTCTCTACATTGTTTATGTTTCTCATACCTTGTTATCTGGTTCTTTTCTTAGCCCTGATGAAGGCCTGAACTTCAGGTCGAAACGTCGACAAATGTTAAAATAAATATTATTATTTATTTTTGCCATTTTATTTCTTACTGATCATCCCAACCATCCTTTTTATCATTATTCACGACAGTCAACCATCGACTCTCAATTAAGATATTATATAAAGGATGGGACGCATTAGTGCTAATTTATCAACTTAATTAACAAATTAATTAATCCATTTCCCATTCTAAAATATATAACATAAACATTCTTTTATCAATATTAAAAAACTTTAATTTGAAAATTGTACAGATCTGAAATGATTAATGGTTATTATGCATATGAATTAAAGTTAATAGAAATTAATAAAGAGTTTTTAAAGTAATAAATAAAAAAATTGCCTAAAAATGATTTAATTAACAAGTATTAATCATATATTTAATTTTTAGCAAATGTATATTATTGTTGTTAGTTTCTGTTATTTATTCAAAAATTATTTTATAATATGTGGATAATAATAAGTGTTTTTTTTTTCTCATGTCTTTAAAAAGACAATATAACCACCAACAAAAACATAAATTTAATTATTTGAATTTAAAAGAAAAAATGCTGCAAATTATTTCACGGTGATTTATTATTTCCGAACAATTATACATCTAAAGTAACGTTACCTTTCTAGTGACAAATTGAAAGAAATAAAAAGTTAATCCTAATTATTTGCCTAAGTATCTTTTTTTTCATCATTAGTAATCTTTCTAAAAAAAAAAAAAGTAGCATTACTTCAGTTACACATTCAAAAATCAAAATCCAAAACAAAGGATTTGCAGTAGAATATAAAAAACATCTTTGCTCCAAATTGTCCAATTAATATTTTTTTTTTAGGAAATTTCATAAACTTTCAAATAATTATATACAATATCAACCAAAAAATGTATACTTTTTGAGTTATTCAGAATCTAATTTTACCAACCCTCATAACTTTTTTTCCAGCTTCTTTTCGTTGAAGTATGTTATATAGATAAATTTAAAGGGCATCGAGAAGACTTTAGACAAATTTCATTGAAATCGGTACATTTGTTTAGGCGTTACAGTCTATAGCAATGCAGGTTTTTCAGCTGCCATTTTGAAAGTGAAAGGCAGGCAGTAATGTCAATGAAGGAGAATCATCCTCGGCTGACCTCTGACTTTAAATCCAAATTTGAAAAAAATCGGTCCAGTAGTTTCAGAGAAAATACGCGGATGGCGGACGGACAAAAAAATTTTTATTCATTTTTCAAATTCTACGTATCCTGAAACGTCAAATCACAAATTTTGAGAAGAGGTTAAGTTTTTGTTTTCATTACAATGGTTCATTATTAAAAATAATAAACCAAAGCCAATTGTTCAAATGAATTTCTTATAATGTATTTAGTTAAATTTACATATGAATCCTTTTTTTTTGCATTGACAGTTACAACCATGGCTTCAACTGTTTCTTCAGTTTAATGTGTACGACATTATGATTTTTTTTTTAATGGCATTGGATAATTTCATACAGCCAGCTAGAAAATTAAGCTGAAGTGTTTAAGTCATAATAAATTAAATATATTTCCTAATTGCATTAAAATATTTTACCACGCTCCTTATCTGTTCACCGCTGATTATGATATTTGTTGTCTTGGTATTACTATCGTACTATCAGGTTTTTCTTGATAGTTAACAACACTAGGAGTGAATTAATTTATTATTTATTTTAGAATAGATGGCAGGATGTCTTCATTTATTAAAATAATGAAGACATCAGCTGCTGTATATCTACTATTTTCCAACTGTCACCAAGTTTATTTTCAACATGTAGACAAGGGTACTAACTGCTGCTGTCTCACTATCATGACGATTGTACGACAGAAATTGTTGCCTTACAAACATGGCTCTAATAATGTATAGTTTTCTATTGAACATATTTAGTTTAATTAATATTTTCAGGTTCGAGTGTGAGAAATATTCAAGCTTTTTTGGTGCTCCAGACTTTGTTTTTGAAATCCAGCTCTCCAACCCTGTGCTCTATATTATTGGATGCTGTTTCTAGTGTCTACCACGCAGATAATGCCAATTATTTTATTCTGGAAAGCCAACATACGTTACCGCAGTTTGCTGAAAAAATTCATCTGAAACCTGCAGATATTCAGGTAAATATTTATCTTTATATGATTTAGCTATAATGGGTTGAGTAATATTGTTATTAGCACGGTTATATTAATTTTAAAAATGTTTGTTTTTAGGAAAAGTTATTTAAGCTACTGGAAATGATAGTATTTCATTTAAACTTTGTACCTTGTAAAGAATTAATATCGCTATCAATTCTACTCAAAGGACAAAATTCTGTTTCTTGCAGCATAATTTGTATGCAGACGTTGTTAAATATCCTCAAGTAAGTATTATCTTAAACTGATCGACTTGTTTTATTCTATTCTAAAATAATATAAATATCAATACTTCAACAAATTAATATTTATACGCCACTCATGGCCAACATTTCACCAATGTGTTGCTACTCTGCCGTTGAAAACTACCGAGTATAAAGATGTAATTATCCTCACTCAGAAATATGTCGAAGCAGCGGAGATGTCTTACTGTTATCTCTATCAGCTGTAACCGTTAAATTTGCCTCCGGCTCAGTGGTTGTTCATGAACAAGAAAATAAATAAAAGTTTTGCGCCAGGTCATTTCAAAAATAAAATTATGAAAAATTTCAAATAATAAAACAAAACTATAAGGAAAAAATTGAATTAAAAAAAATGTTATCAAATAAATAAACCTTATGAAATATGAAAAAGATTACAGATATTTTAATTAATTATATTATTAAGTTCTATATATACAATTATCATTAGAATTTTTTTAATATCCTCTTAACCTAAAATAATAATTTCTTTACCTAATATATGTATATAAAAAAAGAAGTATGTTCATTTAAATTAAAATGATTTTTCTAAAAAAAAAAAAAAATTTAAAGATAAAAAACTGTTCCGACTTAGTGGTTAGTTGAACTGGGGTCCCATACGTTCAAATACAGCCTTTTATCTCAACCGGAGCTACCCGCCCACTTACTTGTGCTACATGTATAATATCTGTTAACCTTATTTTATTGCTTCCATTCTCCTTTTTGATTCGGGCTGTGGACCGACACCGATGGAGTTAAACTTTTTTTTTTTTTATACATTCAAAGATTTATTTTATAATTTAATTTTGTATGGTATCCTTCAAAGCATTTTTCAATAGAAAGAGAAAGCTTACAATTGAGACATTCTTCTACCTTGGTTCTGCGCTGAGTATTTTTTTTATATTATATTTCTTTCGCCAGTATTAATGAATTCAGCAGCTTCCATAGCAGTAAACCACTGTTTTTCCATTTTAAAGAAAAGAATAAAGAAAAAAACAAAAGAAAAAAGGCTAACTTTTAACTAAAAAATTAATTCTATACAGCCACGTAACTAACTAAACTAATCCTATTTGATCTAATTTCTAACTAAAATAACAACACTAAACTAAATAACATTTTTTAAAACTCAGAGCAGTTGACCACAATGCAAAAACAAGTATGAAAATGGTCGAGATAGCCAGAGAAAGGCTGTACAAGGTAACCACCCATAACGGTTTATGAATTCTATAAAGAAAAATCTCCCAAATAAATTCCCATACCATCTGTAAGGTCGGTGTTGCTATACTTGACGATAGCAAATGGAAAGAAAAGCATTGGGACGATTATAGCTAACGGTAGCGCTGAGACAGGGCAGGGCACATTATCTATAGCCCTTATTAGCAGTTGCGGCAGCTGTAGTCGTTATTAGCAGTTAATATATTTATATATTGAGGGTTAATGTTCATTTGTATTCCAGTCTTCTGAATCCATGGTTATTTTTATGAAATGTAATTGTTTTAGGCACAACTCTGTCTTCAAGGATGCTTACCGAGAGGTAGGAATCTTGGAAGTATTTGTTAGCTGCCTCCAAAGGTATCAAAATCTTTTAAAGGAGAAGCAACTAGCGGAAGAGAAAGGAATCGGTTTGTAAACACTATTCTTAATAATAAATTAATATTTTATAAAGTTTGAACCAGTTGCTGGTTTAAATAAATTAGTTTTATAACTTTTATGTTATTGTTTAGTAAAGTTCAATTTATTTGGAATTATTTTTAATTTTTAATTTTTTTTTATTTATAGAATATAACATCGGAAAAGATCATGAAAAACTCGGATGTTTAGTAATTGAAGCGTTAACCATGTTGTTGAATGGTAACACGAACAACGCTAACGTTTTCCGTGAAAGCGGAGGAGCCAAGTGCGCACTTGCTCTCGTCCCTTTCGCTGACTCGAGGTACCAAGCACTAGGTAAGTTATCTTATGGTGATTCAGGCAGCTTTAGAGCTTAGGCATTAGTAAGTTATAAGTTAAGATATGTTTATGAGTTGTTAAACTCTAATTAATTTTTTTTTTTATTAATGGCATTGGATAAAGCCGCAGTCAGCTAGAAATTTATGTTGATGTTTTTTTAGTTCATTTTTTACTGAATATATTTCTTAATTGAATATTTAATAGTTGACCGTCACATGATTAAGGAAGGAGATGGTCCGGGGTGGCAGTCTTAAATAGACTAAATAGTGGCAAAACTATTTTATTAAAAGCCTATGTTTCGACCTTACTTTGCAGATCTTCTTCAGGGCTAGAACGGACAAGATACAAAAAGATATAGAGAATTGTGGAAGCTACATCATATTTAGATTAAAAATTATAACTAATGTGAATTAACTTATTAAAATTATAAACATTAAGTACATTAAAATTTTAAGAACTATAAGTTGTATAAACAGAGTAAGCTAAGTAACAAGATCCTAAACTGAAGTAAATAGGTGGTAACAATTGTATAATAAAATATAATATATGCAATTGTGAATATACTCCTACATATCTACAGGAGAGATTTCATATTATATCCTTTTTTTCTAATCTTTCCTGTAGATCTGTAGGAGTATATTCACAATTAGATATATTATATTTTATTATACTACAACAATTGTTACCATCTATTTACTTCAACTAACTTTATTTATTTTGACTAACTTCTTCTGAAAATGTTCTGTTTGTATTATGTATTTGTTATATATAATCTCTCTCTCTCTCTCTCTCTCTCTCTCTCTCTCTCTCTCTTGTATAACTAAATATCTTCTAATATTGTTTTAATATCCATTGTTCTATTTTACTCCTTATGATCTTAACCAGTTTAGATTTTTTTAATTTATTATATTTTAATATATTTATGCATTTTAGGAATTATTAGGGAATTAATGATGAACGGCGGTGGCGATGAAGACATGGGAACTCTGTTAGCGATGATGCACTCTTCGCCAGCGGATGCTCTGACCTTGAAGGGTCATATATTAAAAGTACGTAATAGGATCATTCTTAAAGTTATTATCTTTACAATTAGATGTAATAAAGCATTTTGTCATTGCTTCATTATCCCAATTTTTGGATGATTTTAAATATATATATTTACAGTGTGTGCTCCAGTGCTTGAGGGAGAGCCATAGAACCAGGAACGTATTTAGAAAAGTGGGCGGTTTCGTCTACGTCCTGAGCGTGCTGGTTTCGATGGAAGGCTGCCTCAAGGATAACCCTCAGGCCCCATGGCAAAAGTTCACACCCAATCAGGTCCTCTCGTTACTCCATACTGTCTTCAATACGATAACGGTGGCGATGAGGTTTGAACCGGCTAATGCTAAATTTTTCCACCAAGAGGTAAATGGCCATCAAATATCTTATAATTTTTTGAGTAATCCATTTTCTCGTAAATATATTTTTTAGCTATGTATGATAAGCTTATAAATGGACTATTTAAACAGCACTTTTTTAAAAAAATAAAACTTAATTTAACTTAAAAAAAAATTTATTTTATTTTAGAAAAGAGAAATTATTGCTTATTGTTATTGAAATATATGGGAAAACGCAAGTTGTCCTGTTGTAACACATTGATGTGAAATATTTATTTATAATGTAGTCTTAGGGCTGGTTGCACCCACAGATTAAAGTTAACATTTCCCATTGACTAACCAAATTATACTTTAAACTTAACCATAGCTAAAGTTTAAACCCTGTTGCTTCAATACATTTATAACCCGGCTTAATTAACTAGACCTAACGTGTGATATCACTATGTTTGTGACGCATTTCTCGAAATTGTTTGGAGACTTCTAGTAACACAATACATTGAAGTTATCAGTGACTGACTTAATTATAGAGATATTTCTGTTTACATGGGATGCCAAATTATCAATATCGAAAATGACTGTCAAATTCAGAAGTGATTCTTTTAGGAACCTGTATTTTAATTTAAATTTGGATTCATCTTAAATATCTAAAGATAATATCTTACTCTGAATTAGTTCTTTTAGGTAACTGGTTCGATGGGTTATAATAATTGGTTATCTGCTGATGAATTTTCTTTAGATGAAATCATCAATATTTTCTCGATTTCTTTCAGATAAAAAAAAAAAACATCATTTCCAGTAACAATAAAATTAAGCCAACTGTAAAAATGAATTTTCCGTGAAATTGAAATTGAATGACTTGTGTCTAGTTAGAAGCTACCATAGATAAGGTTGGTTTAACAATAATTAAAGATTTAATCGTTATTTGAAAACCAGTTAGCTAGCCTAAGTTCCTTGATCAGGCATTACGGCTAATCAAGATTCCTGCAAAGAAAAATTGATTAACTGGTCTGTGCAACCAGCCATTAAATGAACTATAGATAAGAGGAATTAAAATTTATTTATTTTCTTACATTAGCCTGATCTATATCACCTGTAGATACGCATATTACCCGGGATTACATTGAGTTGAAGTGGCTCTATCCATTCCATGGCTGTCAGTACTACCTTGCTACCTTCCTATACCAGGTTATTAGATCTCAGCAACCCTCTTATATTCTATAGAGCCTACGGTTTATTTAAATCTTCCATCCAATCCTGTCCCGCCAGATCCCGTACATCCGACCTCTATTCTCCTCCTCACCAAACTGCTGCGTTTGACAAATCCTTTGTAATTCAATCCGTCTTCCGTTTATTTATTTTATTTTATCTTTCTCTGTTTACTTTATATTTATTTATGTATTTTATTACCTGTATTTTTACTTTATTTTGTAAATATTTAATTTAATTTATGGACACACTATTATGTTTATTTTTATTCTACATTTATAATGTGTTCTAAAGGGACAATAGTCCCAGAATAATAAAGGTATTTTCATTCAATTTTATTTCATTTATATTTTTTATTTTCAGATCTGTTCAACAAGCTTATGTGATACACTTAGATTATTAGGATGTTTTAGTGAAAAAACTATTTTAGAAGAAAGTGAAGATTTTGTCAAAATGACTAATGAAGAAATACATTTTCATAATCTATTTACTGGAAATGTCGTAGAACCTAAGTAAGTCATAAATAATTTGAATTAACATAAATTTTTATGTAATTGCATTTATTTATTTTAGATTTTGTGCAAAATTTAGCTAATTAGAGTTATCGTTTTAGTTTACCCGAGCACGTTCCGAAGCAGTTATCATATGCTTGCTTAGTTCTTCGTCTCCTTTATGACGTTGCTGTGGATGCATTTGAAAAACCAAACCAACCGTCTTTGACAGCTTTCAAATCTCCGTCACACAAACATAGTGTAGAGGTTTGTATCTAGTATTTTTCCATATTTTAAAATCCCAATTTCATTTAAATTAAGACTGCTCATCCGCAAATGTGGCCAAAAGTTGGAAACTCCAGCTCATGTACTGGGCAAATAACATACTCCTTGTCACCCACCGCTACAATAATATAAAGCATCGAATTGCCAAATCCCTAGAGACGAAAAAGTATAGATGCTTCCTTGAAGTATATTGCATTGATACAGAAGGCTCAGTGAGATTTGTAAATATCTTAGCCTTTAGTGCGAAAGGAAAAGAGGCTCTAATAGTCTATCCTACAATTCGATTTGAAATAAATTATGTGAATTAAGATCTTAAAATACAAACAGAAAAAGAGAAGATATATAAAAATGCATTCCATACCTGCAGGAGAAATATAGAGAGGAATTTAGTGAAAGAGAATACTTGGTTCGTGAGTAGAGTAGCAATTTCACTTACAACTACTGCGTTTTTGGAAAAGCCGGGTGTGAAAAGAAGTCATCTACAGAGTATGGCAGAATCAATTGTCATGGACTCGTTGGAAATTCTGTATCATCACATGTATTAATTCTGGTCAGTTCGTTATGAGCTCTATGGACAGTCGTGAGAAGGAAGAAAATGAGAGAGAAAAAAAGTAATAAGGGAGAAAAAGTAAATAAAATAAATGATAACATTTGTTACTTTAGGTGATAGTCCTGCAAAACTCTATTTTTTTTGTTCTTTCTCATTAAGCATTGTCGTTTAGGACTGATCAGTATGCTGGCTGTTGTAGCAATTCAACATAGTTGAGCTGCTGTACATTTTTATTGTACTTTTCTCTTCATTATATAAATTAATTTAATTTTTTCTTTTTTCTGGGAAGTTGTATGTTATTCTTTGTTTTGGGCAATAATGACTTCCAATTAAACAACAATTGATTGATAACATGAATTTAAAACCTGACAACGGAGCACATTATATTTAAGGTAATTAAAAATTTAATGTAACAACCCAATTTTGACATGTATTATATCATGCATTATATTTTAACTCAATTTTTAGCCATGAATCAACAAAAAAACGTTGGGATTGTAGTTCTGAAGATGGGAGTAAATATCCCGAAACGTTAATATGTAAACATGTAATTTGGAAACAAAACAAATAAATCAATTGTTGTTTAATTGGAAGTCATTATTGCCAAAAACAAAGAAAAAAAAATTAATTTAAATTTCTGTTTCTCCACTCAACTTACTAAACAAGCGACTAATCTACACCACTATACTAAGACCTATTTGGACTTATGGAGCAGAACTTTGGGGTTCCGCAAAACACACACATAAACAAAATTCAAACCACACAATCCAAAATACTTCACAAAATCGTCAATACTCCTTTGTTTATTTCAAATCACAACAAGTACACAACATTTCACTCTTCTACTCTCAATCATCCAAATCCACTCGTTCTATCTCTATCTTCCTCCCTGTTACCTGGTGAGCCTCAATGACGACTAAAAAGGCTGTGGCCTAGAGATCTTCTGCTGAAAAGCTAAGAAAATATCAGGAATTCAAGAAGATATAATTAACGCCAACACATTTCCTTGATGTGTTCCAACGCAGTGGCAAATTTAAAATAACAAAAATAAATAAAAAAATTTCTGTTATTTGTTACAGGAGGTTAATCAGAAAAGTTGATTAAAAATATCATGTAATTGAATATTGTATACTGCTTAATACTTTTATCTATTAATTTCATTTTAGTAAAACTTTTTTTCTCTAAAAATAAGTATTAATCAAGCTTACCATTCATGATACGAAGGCAAGGTAGTTGAGGTGGGTGGGGCATGTAGGTCGGAGCAATCCATCAGGAAGCCGCTACATAACAATGAATGTCTCAGTGGTAGGCAAGAGACCATGTGAATGGCCAAGAACCAGATGGACAGACTAATTGAAGTGTTTTTGCATATGGATTAAAATATCTCAGAAACTAAAAATCAGACCTGCATATTGTTAGCGAGAGAAATGTTTAACATTTCATCCTCTTTATAGTTGGCTAAAGCAACTATAAAGAGGATTCAAAAGTGTTTGTTACACGGTGCCATGTTAAAGAGGCAAAAATTGAAAAAATAGTATCAAAAGCCAAATGATTACAAGTTTAATAGAACATATGGATTAAAGTATCTCAGAAACTAAAAATTGGACCTGCATACTGTATGAGAGGGAAATATTCCCTCTTCTTTCCCCTTGCTTTTTATAATTAGATATTATTTATAATTTATATATATATTTTTTTTTATATTTGGGTTTTATACAACTTAAGGAGCCATATCCGCAACACCCAAAAGCCACTGCTCACTGTCCATCCAATCTCCTTCACGGAGCCCTCTGGCTGCCATGCTTTCCTCCACATCCTCTATCCATTTCTTCTTTGGCCAGCGGTTCTCATCCATCCGTATTAAGTGGCCATACCACCTTAACCGTTTGGTCCCGATCAGGTGAAGGATGTTCTTTTGACATCCGACCTTGTTTCTAATAGCTGGGTTTGGGATCCGCTTGATTCTAGATATGCCATAGCTTCTTCTCCAGAAATCCATTTCCATCGAAATCAACTTATTTTCCATCTTTTTTGTCATTGTCCAAACTTCTGATCCATAAGTGGCTATGCTTTCTACAAAGTACAAAGGAATGGTATATCTTCTTTTTAGTTTCCAATCTTATTTCTTTACTCCATAGGGTTGAATTTATCGAACTTATTATTCTTTTCCCATTATTTATTTTATGTTCGATGTCAACCTCACTATGATATAGATGTCAACCTCATGATTTATATTTCATATTATTAATCTGTCCTGTTGAAGTTTTCACTTCTATCGTGTGTTTGGTCTAAAGCACACACACCTTAATTTATTTTAGTTTTTTATTTTGTAATTTAATTATGTTTAATCTACTTATACAATTATTTAAAAAATTTTAATTACAATTATGAAAAATTTCAGACCCAGAAGTCTTTGGACTCTCCTGGATCAGCTCGGAGGATAACATCGTTGAATTTGACTCCTCCTGCTCCGGAACCCATCATTGTACATTCGGGTGTAGTGATCGCTATGTTCCATCTCTTACCTTCGATATCTCATCATGAAAACTCGCAGGTTTGTTGACAAATACGTTTTCTTATTAAGATATATTGTAAACATTCTAATTTTTATTTCATAATTTATAAAAAGAAAAGAACGCTTTTGTAGAAAATAAAAATCAATTTATGAGAAAAACATAATATAATTTTTTAGTGAGCATGTTTTAAAGGTCACATAAATATATATATATATATATATATATATATATATATATATAAATGGTCAGATTGATCTAGTTTTTGTGAAATACACAAGAATAACCCTCCATTTGTTTGTTTTTTTCACTTAATTTTGTATTGATTTGTACTTAATACAAACAAGCAAGTAAACTTTAAATTATGTTGTAGATTTTTTTTTCTTGCTAAAAAGTTTGAAAAGATATAGATCTATTAATTATATATAACTAACTATAATTTTTTTATTGCAGATGTCACTTGTATTACAAGTCTACTGTTCAGAAATAATTAAATCATTAGTTCGATGCGAAAGAAATCAACAGGTTATTATTATCTTATCTGTAGTTTGTTAATGAAAAATGTATTAGCTGTATGATATGTTAAAATTGGTGGTTGATTATTTAGGTGATGTGTGAAGCTGGCTTACCAGCTCATATCTTGTTCGTAGCGTCGTCTGCCTTACAACAAGAGACCCATCCTCTTCACCCACCGATTCAGTACATGATAGAAAGGCTAGCAACGCAAGCTCTGGAACCCAAAGATCTAAGGTATTTTGTTTATACTACAAAATAGCTGTGAATAGCTTCATCTTATCGTGACCTACAAATATTTTATTTATGGAAATTCACGGAATTGGGGCGTTTTCAATCTGGAGGTCGGCAAACTTTGTCCATTTAATTAGATAATAAAACTCATAAATACCCATTTGCTTTCCACTTGGATCTTAAGATAATTTGATCACAAAATAGAGAAAAAATATGGCCTGCAAAATTATTGGGCCATTTGGCCTATATAACCTCATTATTTTGACATTTTGGAGGTGTTCGTCATTCCAAATGGCTCAATATTTTTGAAAGCCACATTTTTTTCTCGATTTTGTGCTCAAATTATCGTATGAGAATTTTTGTAAATAAAATAGTGTAGGTTACGATGAGATGAAGCTATTTACGAAGTTTCAGGCATATGTTAATAATTTGATGAAAAGGGATCTGTACCATAGATTATTATGTTTAAAACAATATTTTTGAAGCATTTCCTATTATTAAATTAGAAGCAACTTTGTACCAAGTAACTTAATATTTTTATAATGATGTAGAGATGGTTGACCATTGATATAATATGAGAAGGAGTTGATCGTTGATCGGGGGGGTGTGGTCAAATTAATAATAAATTAAACAAGTAAAATTATTTAATTTCATTATTATTATTTTATTATTAATTATTTAACAGTGTTTCAACTGCCTCCCGCAGTGCTACATCCTTACGCCCTGATGAAGACCTGAAAAGTGGGTTGAAACGTCGGCAAAAATTAAATAATTCTACTTTTTTAATTTATTATTAATTTGACCGCACTCCCCCCTCCCCCCCGATCAACTCCTCATCTTAATATTTTTATTTATAAGATTTACCATAACAAACGAAGTACCTTACTCAAATGTAGTTTAGTTATAGTTATTTTGGAATTAATAGCTATTTTGATTATTTAATATTTTATTTCATTTACTAAAATGGTTGTCTTTCAACTCGACAGGGAGTTCTTAAGGTTGGGGTCGCCGCTCAACTGCCTGTCCCTCGACGATATCAGTCGAGGCTGCAGAGGCGGCGGTCAAGTACCACTCACACGAGTCAAGACTCTAGTTTCGATGACGACCCCTCGCTCTCAGTCTACTTGCCCGCCGTTCACCGAGTTCGACATGTCCGCAGAGGGGTTTGGCTGCCTTTATCTGCCATCGGTGGCTCCCCAATCTCCCTCTGCTCCTACGGTCACAAGTTTGACTTCGCCCGACACGACAGTCATCGGTGGCATTGGTGCTGGTAATGTTCTTGAAAATTTATTTTATTTATCTACTTGTGATCAATCTATCCATTTATCCATTTATCGTTCTTTATTATTTTTACTTCATGTTTATTTTCAATTTTTTATTTTTTATTATTAACTGATGTAAATTAGAAAGTAACTTATAATTTCTCTTATTTTTTTTTTTTTGACTATTTAATCAAACTATATTCTTCTTCATGTATCTCTAAGGCTCCTTAGCCCACATTTTTGCCTCTCTGTATTATTCTAAAGGGACTCGTCCCAGAATAAATAAAGCATTATTATTATTATGGAGATGGATAAGGAGTTCCAGAAGGAGGTAGCACGAATGACGAAGGATTTACTGAAGGAAGTGGTTTTATGAGAGGGGATATATAAATCTATAGGTTGAGATCTGGTGTTGAAAGAGTGGATAGAGGAGCGTAAAGTAAGGAGTTCTAAGATGTAGGGAGGGTTTTTGGTTCTGAGGACTTGAAAAAAGAAAACACCAATAAGGAATTGCTGTCGAGAAGTAGAATAAACAACTTCGACTCAGTATACCAGCAGGAAAAATGATAACACTTGGGAATCCCAAAGATGAATCTTATGATACAATTCATAAATTCCTTCAGTCTCTTCTCCAGTTCTGTGGACAGCCCTCCATACACTAAGTAACCGTAGTCGAAGTGGGGGAAAACAAGGGATGTTACAAGGAGCTGTCTGGTTTTTTTTGGAATGAAATCACGGAATCAAAGGAATTGTTTAAGGATAGTTATGGATTTACGGGTAATCTGGGAAATGTAGTTGTTCCAAGAGAGGTTCTTATCAATGATCAGTCCAAGATTTTTGACTGTCGGGAAGAAATGGATGGGACAGTTATTGAGGTAAAGTAAAGAGGGAAAGAAAGGAAACTAATAAGGTGCTTGGAAACGATGATGATTGCCTTAGTTTTGTCTGCGTTCAGCTTCAGTTAATTTTTTTCTGCCCACTTGACACCTGTGGATACAGTCGATGTTATGTATCTTTTTAATTCTATTCATAAAGTTATTGATTGGGTTTATGCATATGATAACTATTGGATGATATTTTGTTAGAGGTTATATACTTTATAGCACCGCTAGAGATAGTGCGATAATTATAATGTTAAAACATCACTTAGTGCTGCCAATAGACGCAGTTGTGAAAAGGGATCCAGTCTAACTGTAGGCTTGGTGTTGTGATGTTTTTCAATAAGTTTTTAGTTATTGCATGTATAAACAATAGTGAGTTCAAATATTTTATTCTATTTGTTTGCTTTTATATTTTTTTAGATTATAAAATTATTGTTATTAACCTGATTAGATCTATAATATTGTATTTTTACTCCATTTAGTTAAAGTAGAAATAACTTGTATCATAATAGTGTCTAGTAACGTAATGACCTTCATATACTACTCGACACTTCAATTATTTCTTAAGGGAGAGTTTAATGATTTTTAGGTATAATTATATCAATGTTTTTTCTCTTCTGTATAATGTAATTTATTTCTTATGTACAACGTTTCGTGCTCTTTTCCCATCTTGAGAGACAAATCTTAAAATAATTAATGTTGTTCCACCACTCCAATTAAATTGTTCCTAAATTTGTCTTTCATTCTTCGCATATGTCCTTGACATAAGAAATAATTAACATTATACAGAAGAGGAAAAAATTTCATATGATTATACCTGAAAAGAATTAATGAGGTTTTAAAGAGTGTTATGGGTTTAATTATTTGAGCTAATTTGAAATATTTTATTGTATGATTAAATTTGATTACTTAGGTGATCGACTGTTCCCGCCGCAGACCGGTTTGAGCTATTCAACTTGGATCTGTATCGAAAGGTTCTGCGACCCGCGGGTCGACCCTCACGCCGTCAGGCTGCTCACTTTAGTCAGGACTCTTCACCCCGCTAAGGAACAGCATCTTATCTGTCTCTCGGTTTGTCTTTCTGCGAGGGACAAAGCCATCATCGTTACGACGCAAGAAACTCCTTTATCAATCAGTAAGCTCATTCTTATAAGCTATTTACGTATTCTATTAGTTTTAACGTACTACTAAACCTGGGGTCGAAGTACTGTAAACCAAAAGTACTTTAATCCCTTTTTTTAAAAGAAAAACTAAGCATCTCTTCAAGAGCAATCAACACATTGTGAGGAGGAATCATAAAACTATTAGACCAGTCAACGAATGCTTGAATAGGGGCTATAGAAGGAAATGGTGAGGACACAATTTTTGACTTTGGCACATTGTTTGAACTAGTAAGGAGGTAAACACACTGAAAGTCTCCACTCCTAGGTGGAGAACCAGATGTTTGGGAGTACCTAGGTCACTTTTTTCAGGTTTTCGCTGATATCAGGACAACTATCCATTGCATCGACAAAGACGTTCTATATAAAATTAAAGCTGATAAAATTTGGAATATGATTGATTATATACCTTTTTTCACTACCTTGCAGTTAGATGCAACAAAAATCAAAATCGTTCAATTTAGGCCAAAAAACGGCAAAACATGCAATTTCATTTGTATCAAATTTCAATGTGCAATGGATAGATGATTGGGTTAGAAGTTTTTAAATGTAAGCAAATAAAATGGAAATCCAATCTCTAATTATAATTTCATATTATAAAATCCCACCCTATCCATAATATAACATACAAAAATTCACGACCATAATGTGTTCGGGCAACTGAGCAATGTTAGCAACACCCTAGTTAAAAGTTTTTAGGTTAGTTACGTTTATATAATTCCAATATCAATATTGTATACTGTTTAAAATATGAATTGAATTAAAAATTTTTATTTTTTATTGTAAATTTAATGTACGCTGAGGACTTAACTGGTTCATGGACTGTGAATGCTAAGGATCAAATAAACGACATTGATACATCAAATGTTCTATTTAATAAATAACACATTTATGAACAAAATAAAATAAAATTTAAGCTTTTATTATCTATAATTATAAAATAGTGTACAACATACTGTTATTCGGACTATCTTTATGGTAGCTCCAAATGTATTGTAAATAACCAAATAAAGTTAAATGTTAATAATTAGTTTTGGCGGGAATAGTAAATAATCTTCCGCTTTTATATCGGAGAACTAGATTATTTACACTCGAGATAATTAAAACAAATCCCCGGCACTGGATATAGACTTTTTGAGGGTGTTTAACTGTTGTTGGGAATTTGGGAATCTAATACCTTCTGTGACATTGAGTGAGAAGAAACAATAAGAATACTTATATGAAATGTGGGACTTGGTAAACACTTTGAATGAATTGACTCACCTGATTTGTTATTCTTTAATTGTGAGGCATATAGGACAACTAAATAAATAAATGATTTTTCACTCTTGTATAACAAAATAATTTATTTCTACAACTGTAATAAATTGACTCTATTAAAGTGTTATAACTATAGGCTTGATATTCTAAATCTTGTAGTAGCCTCTCTTCCCAGGTATGTATTCCGCCTCAAGTGCCCCTCCAGCTGTTGCTAGCTACCTGCTCTCCTTTTTCCAGCGTCCTTCTTCATCGATTGCTTATCGATATGAGACTTTTCCATGAATAATTTGTCCACTGCACAATTGAGTACAATTCACAGTGCAACCTCACATTCCTATATATTATATATTCCTTCTCATTCCATCACATAAAGGAGTAAATACAGGGGGATATCTACTACATTATGCTGCTTCCTCTATTGAAGATGGTCTTCATCCGGTCTATACTTTTCTAATCACTGACAGACGACTATGCTTCCATCCTGGCCAACGGTCTGGAGACGACTGGGTGAAGCAAGGGAGTGGGGATAGCGTTCTTTCAACTCAAACGTATTTTTTTAATGTGCATTCTTGATAATAAAAAATCATTACAATTTCAGCTGGACCAGATTGGGAACCAGAAGCTGCTTCTGATTGGACGGCCAGGGTCTGGTGCCCCGACCTCCTGCAAGAAGGCCATTGGCACCACCTCCTTATAGTCTTGAACAGAGCTGTTCTCAAAAATTCTGCTCTTTCGATTTATGTCGATGGTCAGCATGTACATACTCAAAAGGTTTGTTAATTTTCATAGCTGTAATATCTTAATATATTATTTAACAAAGGTGTATTTTTTGTCACTATGCCATATCTTCGTCAATTCTTCATCAAATCCAATGATAAGAATAAGGATTCAGAAGATATAGTGAAATCTATCGAAATGTATGTTATAATTTTTTTTTTTTTTCTTTGTACTTCCATTGACTGAAAACCCCAACCAACTTCTCTTCAATCAATACCTATGATTTGAGGAGTTGGTCAGAGGGTGTGGACAAATAAATACTAAATTGTTAAAATAGTATTTTATTCGTTACGCCGACATTTCGACCCACTTTGTAGGTCTTCATCAGGGCTACAAAACATTCAAATATAAAAGGTATAAATGAATTATTAGTAGATATATAAAAAACAATTTTTTGATAAAGAAATAATAAGTTGAAGTGATATAGTGGGTGATAATGTATATTTTAATTACACTATCACTGACGTCATCGTATATAATTTCTTTATCAGACAACTGCTTCTTATTTAATATCTACTTTTTTATCTAATTTTTTTTATTTTCGCTATATACCTGGCATAGTTGTATCTTTTGTAGCCCTGATGAAGATCTACAAAGTGGATCGAAATGCCGGCGTAACGAATAAAATACTATTTTAACAATTTAGTATCTATTTGACCCCACTCTCCAACTCCTTCTCATATTATTTATTAATATAATTCATTGTCTATTTGTTATTTATAACTTTTATCCCCATTTCAGAAGTGAATATGATTCTAAATTTTCCAGATGCACTATATATCTCAAAATCCTGGTGGAGGAGCGGCAAACCTGACCGTAGCCTCTTCTGTGTACGGGTACATCGGGACTCCTCCTATATGGCGCCGCTTCTCGCGATTATCTTGGAAGCTAGGTCCTTGCCATCTCATCGAAGAGGTTCTCAATCCACATTCGGTCCCGATCATTTATCAACTGGGTCCGCACTACTTGGCTAGTTTTCAATCTCCACAAATCCATGGTAAGCTAAACATTAATATATTTTACCTTATTTAAAAGCATAAAAGTAAGGTTTATAAAATTTATTCATTTAGATAAAATTGATATAGTAGAATTAATAATATTAGATGATAATAAATAAAAACAAGAATATTTTTTTCATAAGTAAAACTTCATATAACAGTTACACTCCTTAAATGGCTAATCTAGAAGCGGGAGAGAAAACTACAATAATATCGCATGCCTGATCAACTATGTTGAGTTGCTTAATCTCACAGCATACTCATCGGTCAACAGATATTATTTAAAACCAAAACACAAGAGAGCTTGTGAGGTGAGATAATTTTAAAAGATAACAAGTATGTTGAAAACAGTGCATAGAATCATATAAGCGAAGGTGCAGATCAACATATGTGGTGTTGGAGGATTCCAAATGAGTCTAAAATAATTGTTTCTATTATGTTCTGCATCTGCTTCTTTCCAACACCAAGCTTCCGCAAGACGATCGAGAAGTTTATTTCTCCGAATTTATCCCTATATATTTTTTTAATGTAGGGTCTGCATTTTTTATAAATTTCTTCTTTCTCTGCCTGCACCTTAAAATCTTGATCTTGGTATTTCGTTTGAAACCTGATCGTGAGATTCACTATAGGTGCCTCTATTTCTGTTGCATTAAACGCTTAAATGTCAATGAACCTTGCAGAATCTTTTGTATCTAGACAATAAACTTTGAAAAAATGTCTAAAGTTGTTCATTTTTAGGAGTTCAGATAGCTGTTTCTTTACATTATTATGCCGGTGTGTTATTAGGAGCATATTATTCAGACATTAATGCAATTTGCAATGTCCAGTTCAGATATGAAAAAAATTATCCTCTATACAGGTTAAAAAAAAATTATTTTCTTATATATGACACGTTTCTTCCTCTAAAGCGGGATACAGAAATATTTTCGAAAAATAAAAACTAAGGTGTGTGCTTTAGACCACACGATAGAAGTGAAAATAACAAGGCGAGATTAATAATATGAAATATAAATTATAAATAATAGCTCATTATAAAGAAGGTCAAATAGTGAAAATTTCCCTCGCATACAGAATGCAGGTCTGATTTTTAGCTTCTGAGATATTTTAATCCATGTCTTCCATAAAACCCTTTAATTTGGGTATGCGGTTATATTGTATCTCAGTATTTTTCTATTATTTTTATTTTCTACATCCGAATAGCCCAAACAGTATTTACCTTTTGTCTGTTACATTTATTCTTTCAAGCATTTGATCCTTCTCCATAGAATTTTTTCACATCATTGTTTTTAGGTTATTGAGTGTGGAATTGAGATATTTAGCCAAATTTTTCAGTTCCCTTCAATTTCGTTTTTTCTAGTTATCGTAGACCCTAGATGCCTAAAATTCTGTACGTGTTCAAACACATTTCCTTCTATATCGATATCATCGAAATTGTCGCTCTTTTTGCAGATAATCATATATTTTGTCTTATCCGTATTTATCTCGAGTCCTAGTTCTTTACCAGCTTCCATCAACATTTAGTTTTATTGTTTTCTTGTGTTTTGTATTGCAAGTACATTTAAAAGTGTACGTACAAATTTATAAGAGTAGAAATAAAAATTTTGGAAACATGCAAATTCATATAGATTTGCCAAAATACTTCTTAGCCAAAATAAGTATTTTCAGACAAAGGAGAAGTGAAAGTAAAAATTATTAACACTATATTGATTTATATTTCATTGTAGATATATATATATATATATATATATATATATATATATATATATATAAATTTTAATATTTATATCACTGTAATCTATACAATTAAATATTAAATAATACCAACAATAGCATTTAGGAAAACCGCATATGTACATGTACATAATATTGTCGGAGTCCGTATTATATTAACTAATCTTTGGACAAGCTCGGGCGCGCTCTTGTATCCCTTTGGTTACTTCATTACAACTATTCTCTGTTACGATCTCTTATTTCTCCTTTAGTTAATTATCAAATTCTTTCATATTTTATATTTAACTATTTTTTATATTAGAGATTTTTTATATTTGACATGGTTAATTGTTTCAAATAAAAAAAATTAAAGGTACTTTAGAGGAAGCTAATATTGAAAATTAGCCATTTAAGCCCTGTTAGAGAATATCAATGAGAATAAAACCCACATAATAATAAAAACTACTTAATTTTACACTGATAAAATGAAGTCAATCAAAATCGTTGGAACCATTTTTTAGAAAATAGTAAGAATGTGTTTCATCGATGATATAAAATGCCATTTCTGGTTAGCCGATTTTGATGAAAAAGTTGCTGTAACATCTCAAGTATAAACAAACCTTAAATATGCAATCTCTCTGTCATACGACTTTTCATTTTTGAGCTAGAACTGTCACATACTTATAGACACACACGCAGACCATTTTGCGGGACTTGGTTATTTGGACTCAGGGGAGACCTCAAAACATGTATTTCCATTGAAAATTCAGATTCGAAAATTTTCATAATCGCATTACTGTCTCTTACTATAAATTTCATATATAGGTAAATGAAAGTAAAAATAGGTTGTAGGTAAAAATTTATATTATTACTTGTTGCATATAATTTATAGCCAAAAAAATCTTAAAAGAGGCTTTTTATAATAAAAATACTTGAGACAATATTCTTGAATAACTTTTACTATAAAAGTTCTGACAAATAAGTTTTTGTAAATTAAGAACTTACATTTTGAAGATAATAGTACGCAGTTATTTTGGAGCTCTGATATACATTTACATACCTCAGATCAAGGATAAAAAGGTATAAATAATTTTATTATTTATATTAAATAAGTTTAAATAATATTTATCTAGAATCTAAACAATATTAAATAAGTTTAAAAATAATGACTGATTTTAATGGTATTTTAGTTGTTATATATTTTTTAAACATCTGTCAAAGATGTTATCTACGTCGAGCCCTTGTGAGCCTAAGATATTCGTTACTGAATGGACCTCATCCTTCACGAAAGTAGGCTCTCTGTTGAGAATCACGCTCGCAGTTTTTCCTCCGGATTTGCACATAGTTACTCCTATTACATTTTTATTATTGTTGAGGATTGTTATCTGGAGAGAACTCTTAGAATTTCCTGAAAATAATAAAATACAGTCAAATATTATTGAAAATAATTTTATCATTCACTAACTGTTTAGATAGATAGTGAACAAAACTTAATTATAAAGTTTATAAGCAGGTTAAAGTCAGCGTGGCATGTCACATGTTTAACAATACTTCAGGTAAAGTTCAAAAATAGAATCTAAAAGTATTAAATTATCGAAAGAACAAATGAATTAGTCCATAAGCTCCATGGTTTGCTGATTTTTTTTTTATAGTTATTTTTCAATTTTCATCAACTTCATAAATTTAGTGGCTTGCACTTTGGTTTGAATCATTTTCAGATAATTTAAAGGAAAAATAAAATTAATACTTGATAATCATAAAACTAAAGGTTATAAGATAAAATTTGACAATCATGATATGATATCATATCAGTATTTAATAGCTTTCCTGCACAAAGTTGGAACTTAAGAATGGATCGCAATTATTCTTATCAAACAATTTTCTTTTTTTTTCTCTGGTTAAAGATTATTTGCTTAACCACCAAACTTAGTACAATTCTCTCATACATAAAAGCTCTTGTTGACAATTAAGACAGTTGTTAAAATAAATTCTGTTGAATTTGAGCTTACCTTTTTTATTTACTGGCTCAAGTAATCCTGGGTTGTCTTTGTTTTGCTTCAGGTCTAGCTTCTTCAGAGGTTTGTCTTTTGAATGCCATTGGAATTCTATTAAATTGTCTTTCGAAACTATCTTAATCATCGGACAACTTTTCGTCTGCTTAGCGTTGTTGTTCGAGGTTGCTGATGCATGTTCAATTCCTCTTACGGCATACCAAGTTCCAAAGATCTATTTAGAATGATATGTTTATATAATAAAAATAAAAACTTTAAATAATAAGAGATATTAAACATCATAATTTTGAAAATGAAGGGAAAAAAATTAATACGCAGCTTTTACGTGTTTGGCAGACATTGCACATTTTAATTACTTTCTTCATTTACAACAAAAAGTTCGTATAAATTATGATTCTTAATATTTTTTATTTTTAAAAATTTTAATAATTCTGAAATTTTCATGATATAATGTTATTCCTAGAAACAACTGTTGATTGGTCTTCTGCCTCATCTTATAATCTTCTAATAAGTATAATTGAAAGTTCATTTATAACTCATTTGCTTTAACAACACAGTGACTAAAAAATCATAAGTTCCTTAATGTTATTTGAAAGAATTTTCCTACTGTTTTATATATATAAAACCTTTAGCACTACAACACATGAAGGGTCTCGAGTTCAGTACTGTTTAGGAAAATTACTGTTTCCTAGTCAGCAGTTGTGTAAAGAGGTGATTTGACTGAGATCACGCTCAACCAGTACGTTTTTTCCCTTAATCAGTTATTTAATTAAGGTACCCACTTTATAGAGGCTGATTGTGCCCCAGGAGGGTCTCCTAACACCCGTGCCGTCCCATGGCTGATGAAACAGAATAAATAATTTTCTCTCAACAATTAATTAGTTTGTATTTTTTATTATTCTAAGCCAAACTAAGACCCATAAATACGTAACTCAGTTATTATTCTTAGGAGAGTGTAGTCCCAGAATAAAATTATTTTTTCATTTAATTTCATATAAAGATCTGCTGTAATAAAACAATATTCTCTTATATTAAATTGTATGTTAGTGACCTAGTTAGAATTATTTATTTCCGACAATAACTGTAATGCTGCCACAAGGCAACTCCATTAGAAAATTTATTTTATTTTTACCATTGGTTAATCTGGAGAGCAATTGGGGTTCTACTCTATTAGAAAATAAACAGACCAACTTCCATTATTTTTGATAAATCTTTGGGTATTATATTCACTACAAGTAAACGAATATTAATAGTTTAAAGTTATTATAATTTTTTTT